TCTTCACTCGTCTCCCCCTTGGCAGTCTCCCTCCCCCATCTCCTCCAGCTCCTGCTCCCCCTCCTCCAGCTCTTCTTCACTGTGGGCCTTGCCAAACAAACCATGGGGGGTGGAGGGTGGGGGAAATGGATCTCAGTGTGAGCCTCTGCTTTGATGCCAGTGTCAATGCTAAATGACTTCTATACTGAAACCTTTACAGCAAATAATCTCCAGTGATACGTGTGAGCCTACACAACAGGCAGGATCCCACAAAGATAAACAGAATGACAACACCTAAGACAGAAACATCGCAATCAAATCAAGTACTCCTGGGCACCTGAGTTATCAAGAATACTGCTGGTCACCTTGCCAGAGAAGGGACCTATGGACCTCAAGAACTGCCATTTTCCCCTACAGTCCCTTAAGTGAGTAAGAGCCTCTAAGCATACTGAGTCCAATTGGCAGCCTGAGGCCCCACCCACCACAGAAGAGTCCAAGCTCCCAGCACAGATATGAGTAGAATGCACCTTTAGAATAGAGTTTCTCAACCTCGGCACTATTGACATTTGGGGCTAGAAAAGGCTTAATTGTATGAGGCTGTCTTATACTTTATAAGATGCTTGTACTTTATAAGATCTGGCTTCTGCCCACTAGATGCCAGTAGCACCCCTTCCCAGCAGGTGTGACAACCAAAAATCTCTCCAGACCTTGCCAAATGCCTCCTGGGGGACAAACTCACCTCCGGTTGAGAACCACTGCCCTAGGATAGTAAGTAGCTAAAATAGCCTGCAATTTAAAAAAAGTTGCTAGGATCTCTCTGCCAGTGTAATCTGGGAATAGGGTAAGGGGCTGCTATAAAGCCAGGATTTGAATTAGTAACACCTTCAAGGTCCAAGTAGGTAATACAAGTGAGCAATGGTAAGAATGTCTGGGTATTAAACAAGAGGGAGTGGAGGGCTGTAGCAGACTAAAGAGTGTATGCTCCTTTAAAGAGAGCAACCACTACTCAAAGGCAGCTGATTGTGTCAGTAAAGAATGTGGGTCCAAGGTTACCAGAATTTTTGGTTTTTCAAAAGAAAGGTCCAGTCCTGATTTTCATATTTTGGCAAGTAATTCAAAATTGTTTACAACACGAGGCCAAACAAATATATCTGTGGGTCAAGTCTGGCCCATGGGGCACCAGCTTGCAGCTCTGACCTGGAGTTGTTATATGGAGACTATCTGGGCCCTTTCTTCTAGAATGGAACTTTAATTGTCTAGCTTGGCATGGTTATAATTTCTGTAGACAGTCTCCCAAACAACAACGTGGACCCCTCTCATATCTCAATTTAAAAAAATTTTTTTTTCAACGTTTATTTATTTTTGGGACAGAGAGAGACAGAGCATGAACGGGGGAGGGGCAGAGAGAGAGGGAGACACAGAATGGGAAACAGGCTCCAGGCTGTGAGCCATCAGCCCAGAGCCTGACGCGGGGCTCGAACTCACAGACCGCGAGATCGTGACCTGAGCTGAAGTCGGACGCTTAACCGACTGCGCCACCCAGGCGCCCCTCATATCTCAATTTTAGACTAACTTAATTATCCTATCCCACCTAAATTTCACCATGGTTACAAGTGCAGATTTTGGGGGTTTCCCCCTTAATTATGACCTAATTGGTTTCTTCCAAATTTTTGTCTCTTAAGACCACATCGTTCTCACTGCCACCCCTGCCCAAAGAGACTCCCTTCAGCACATTCCAGATTTGTTAGATGATGCATCAGCCTGATTCTACACCCTAAGTTCCAAGAAGAGGAGCAAGCTGAACTCCAAAGTCTTGTCAGTTAGAATGAGACATGGTTTTATAACTTCGGCCCGTCTCTGACAATTTCCTGCCTACAGACATGCATTGTGAAAAAGCCTGGGCTTCTAGGATAGGGGCTTGAAGGAACTCTGATCCTGAGTACTCTGGGTAAAAGTACACTTGAATAAAAGCAGCTACAGATGCTATGAATGCACTTCTAAGAAGTGAGGTCTCTTCTCCAATCAAAAGAGCAGTTCCTGATATGGGGATGGGCTTCCTAAGCACAAAAACAATGAGGAAAATCATAAAGGAAAAAGGATTTAGCAAATAAAAATCTTTTGCACATGAAAAATTATATATAGAGGTGTCCTTTGACTTGGTTATTTTTGGAATTCACCCTAAGGCCAACACGAGACCAATGCACAGGCACTCTCAGTTGCTTAGATAAGAGCACAAACTCACAAAACCTTCTAGAAGAAAATTGGGTAACACATGAAGAATCTTAAAACAGTTTATTTCTTTAGACACAAGTATTTCTCTTGTATAATTCTACCCTAAAAAAAGATGCAGAAACTCTGAAACTATATATACAAAGACTCCCACAGCAATATTATTTTTAATGATATTACAGAACACTTACTATATGCCAGACACAGAGAAGTACTATACATGTATTGATTCATTTACTCCTCACAACCATCTTTTCAGTAGGTACAATTGATATTTCCATTTTACAAATGAGAAGACCAAAGCAACAGTTAACTAACTACTCTAAGGTTAACAGCTAGAAAAACAGCTGGTAAAGTTGGAATCAATCCCAGTCTGGCATGGGAGCCTGTGAACTTAACCACTATACCACACTGCCAGGAACCTACTTATGTGTCCCTAAACCATGTTTTCTAAGAATATATCATGAAAGGGATTAAATATTAAATTTTTAAAAGTATTATACAAACCACACAGAGTATGATCTCAAAAGTACTTGTAAAAAATGAGATAAGCACAGGAAAAAAAAATACCACAGGTATTTCACACAAATAGCAGCAATACTTCTCTGGGAGTTAAAATTATGGGTGATTTTTCTTTTCTTTTTTCTATTTTTTTGCATTTTCAAAGTGCTTGTAACATTGCATATTACCTCTAAACAATAATAGTAAAAGAGACACTACTTTAAAAAATGTTTCTTTTGAAGAACATTCCACAAAACGAAAAAAAAAAAAATGATATACTAAATTTAAAATGCAGAATATAAAGTTATATGCAAAGTATGATACCAATTCTATAAAAAGAAAGAAATGAAGACATGATTTAACTATTAAAAGTGCTCATCTTTTGGTGGTAGATTATGGGTGATTTGTGGTCAAGTTAATTTTCTCCTTAATGAATACATTTTATTTTATTTTTTCTTTAATGTTTATTTATTTTGAGAGAGGGGGAGGGGCAGAGAGAGAGGGAGAGAGAATCCTAAGCGGGCTCCACTCTGTCAGTGCAAAGCCCAACGCAGGGCTCAATCTCATGAACCCATGAGATCATGACCTGAGCCAAAATCAAGAGCCAGATACTTAACCAAATGAGCCACCACCTAGGCACCCCCTAACATATTTTGTAATCAGAAAATTATTATTATTTTTTGAAACTGAGAGAGACTGAGAGCAGGGAAGGGGCAGAGAGAGGGCAGGAGGGAGAGAGGACCTGAAGCAGGCTCTCTCAGCAGACAGCCTGATGTGGGGCTCAAACCCAGGAACTGTGAGATCATGACCTAAGCCAAAGTCAGATGCTTAACTGACTGAGCCACCCAGGCACCCCAGAAAATTATTCTTTTTCTAGACAACTCAGTCTGGCCAGAGTTCCCCTGGCCAGACCCTACCAGACATACAATACAGCTGAGTACCCACTTTCCCTCTTCCTGGGGCTCTATGTGGAGGGGTTCCCTTTAACATTTGTCTTTAACAAATCCTTAAAGTCAGGAGGCCCAGTGTACAGTACAATCCTTTATTGCTAACTCCAAGGTACTCTCAGCCTATTTTTAACACTGTGGATAAACTACACACACTGCCAAAGCTTTTGCAAGCAGAGATACGGAAAGGACAGAGTATAATTAAGTGCTTCTGGCAGCACAGTGCTTAAGGAACACAGGGAATTCTGGGCCACTTCTCAGCTAAAACACTAGCTCTACAAGACTGTGTAAATTCACAGCAATCTTCTTTCTTTTCAGTGACTTTAGGCAGAATCACTCTTCACCACCTCGTAAGAGAAAAAGGAAAATAAAGAGGGATGAACTGGAATCTCTCAGGTTCTGTCCTCAGAAACCCAAATATGGGCTAGAAGCCACCTTCCTGTCACTGGCCACAAGCAGAGCTTGTTTACAAAGTCAGTGTAAAGAAATCTGAAACACCAATGGGAAAAAGCCATTTTGGTGTGGTGCCTGCTGCTTAGAATGGGCTGCAAAGAGGGGCACCTGGGTGGCTCAGTCGGTCAAGCATCTGACTTCAGCTCAGGTCGTGATCTCACAGTTTGTGGGTTTGAGCCCCGTGTCGGGCTCTGTGCTGACAGCTCAGAGCCTGGAGCCTGTTTAGGATTCTGTGTCTTCTCTCTCTGCCTCTCCCATGCTCATGTTCTATCTCTCTCTCTCAAAAAATAAACATTTAAAAAATTAAAAAAAAAACAACAAAACAAAACACAATGGGCTGCAAAGAGTGGAAGTGGCAGGGAGCAGTAGTCCTGTGGGCCTGATGGGTAAGACCTTGGGACCCCCTCACCCCCCACCCCCAACAATCTAGAGAAGCTCTTTTCTCAGCCTCTAAACTGGTTTGTTTTCTTTTTTTTAACTGGATTTAGATAAAAAGCTGGGAAGCAAAATAAAGTCCTCAGCATTGAGGTTTTTTTCTGGGTTAAACCACAAGTAGTGCTATTGACTCCAATCAAAACATCTGATAAGACAAAAATAAGACATGCACCAACCTGTCACATAGACTGGAGCACAGAACTCTGTAACAGTCAAGAGTTGAAGGAATGTGAGGCACCAAAAGCCACAAACAGACTCAAATTTCTCTCATCTCTATCCCTTACCCTTACTTATCTCTCAGGGTTAAATGGCTTTGGTGAAATTACTTCTTCAAAAGGTAAGATGCCTCTCTTCCTCCCATAAAGCAAAATATACTGTTCAAATATGAGGTACCATTAGCATTATTAAAGGAACCCACATCCTCAAACATACTTTCCCACTAAACCCCAGACTTACATATGCAAGCAGCAGCGAGGAGACGGCAGGCCAGGTACGGGGGATCACAGGTGGGGAACGAGGGCTGGATGATGTAGTTGGCGAAGGTGATGGCAATGATGGCCTGACTGGTGGGCTCAACAATTAGCAAGGAGGCCCAAAGGCGGATGAAGGCAATGAAGCCCCCAAAAGCTTCTAGAATATAAGCATAGCTGGCCCCAGACTTGGTGATGGTAGTCCCCAGCTCCGCATAGCAAAGGGCACCAACAACTGAGAAAAGCCCACCAATGGCCCATATGACTAGTGACAACCCATAGGAGGCAGTGTATACCAGCACGCCTTTGGGTGAGACAAAGATTCCTGAGCCAATCATGTTGCCCACCACCAGGCTGACCCCATTCAACAGAGAGATCTCCTTTTTTAGCTGCATAGTTTCCATGGTCCGTTGAGGTTGCATGCTGACATCTTTCTCTCTGGGCTGGCTGGCCTCAGGAATGAGATGGTAGGTTGGCGTGGGGCTCTCCAGCTCCCTGGCTTCCATGGCAAATGTCTCCTTCACACTTATGTTTCCTGTGGCCTGGCAAAGAATATAAATATATTAGTCTAGGGCAGGAGCTGGTGAGTCTCTGGTTTAGAGAACTGCAAAGCCAACGTCTTTTGTAGGAATGGCATGCCTTGCACATAGATCTAAATACAATGACCTTGTATCAGTTCCCACCACAGGACACAGAGAAATAAATGGAGGTAGGCAGACATCTAGTGCTCCCAAGAAAGATAACAATGACAGGGTTCAGGCGATGGCAACTTCCAACAAGAGGTACCTGGCTTGACACCCAGCCATTAGGTTGGCATTAGGCCTAGCCATAGCACGGATTCTCCCTAAGGTATAGGTTTTAGTCTGGTTAGTTTATGAGACCAGTGCTCTAACCCCCGAGCTACAGAGTCTAGTTTGGTCAGTTTAAAACCTGCAAACCAGGGGTGCCTGGGTGGCTCAGTCAGTTAAGCATCTAGCAATTGATTTCGGCTCAGGTCATGATCCACGGTTCATCAGTTCAAGCACCAATTGGGCTCTGGGGCTCTGTGCTGACAGTGCAGAGCCTGCCTCGGATTCTCTCTTTCTTTCTCTCTCAAAATAAATAAATAAACTTAAAAACAACAACAACAACAACAAGCTGCAAACCTGACCTGCAGAGACCAAACTCCCAGCACCAGGTTCACAGCCCTAGCCAGCCTGATAGGTCCCTCACTGCCCAAACCCACTCACCTCCATCCAAACATAAACAGGAACTCCTGCAGTATCTAGCCACATGCAGAGAAGTCTGTAGCTACTCTCAGGCCAGCAAAAAATACAAAAGAATATGAGCAGGTAGTGAGGAGGACTGGGAAGATGCTAAGACCAGGGCCATTGCAAAGACTAGACCAAGGAGAGGATCTTCATGAAAATACACACCTGTGTGTTGCTAAGTCCACCACTTCCACCTTACTTCCCTCATTGCTGCTTTCCCCGTTCAACACATCTCTTTTTCTAAAGTGCCCAGAAAAAGAGACAACAAGACCAGATGGAGAAAGAACACACAGAGGGCACCCTAACCTGGGGCTCAACTGCTATCTGTTTATTTGTTTTCCTTCTCAGCATGTGCCTCTCACTACCATCTGGGTTGCAAAGAGATTCTCCCAGAATAGGACCCAGGAATTCTGACACTCAATCGGAGCTACATGACTTTTCTTATCCACAGACCTGGCATCGGAAGGCATCCTATATGGAGATGGCACACACACTACTACTTTTGGTTTAGAGTTGGGCCAGTCCAGAAACCTCAGGAAAATTAGACTCCACACCAATCTTCATATAAAGAACCCAGAATCTGTCAGAGGAAGACAAGAACCTTCCTATGCCCCAGGAATCAGGAATTCAGATCACCTATTTACTCCCCCCTCATGTTCTGGATAAAGGAATCCTGTAAGCCGTTTGATTCCCACCCAGGAGTCAGTCTTTTAAGGTCACAGAGATAATTTCCAGGGATAAGAATGAGATCAGTACATCATCTTCCCAGAAGCCTCTCATCTACTTAACAAAGATGGAGATGCCAGAACCTTACCTCGTGGAGCTCAGAGTAAGGGAACCACAGCCACTCAAGAGTAAGTAGTTCTCAGGGAAAACTCCAGTCTCCACAGCTCCATCCAAAACTCCTGCCTTACCTGTTCCGGTCCCCTTCCAGAGTCTGGATTGGAGGCGAAGTGAAAAAACTCCTCTGGGCACTGATAAGCCTTCTCTCACTCCCAGAGTGGAGCCAGCCTACCTCCGCTTAGATGAGAACTGGCTTTAAGGCAGCACCACTCTTCCTTTCACTCCTGGCACCAAGCCATGCAGGTTTCCCTCTGCAGGCACGGACACGTGGGAACATACTTGTTTTCACGTGTCTGTCAGCTGAGCCAAAGCAACCATGAAAACAAACTTGAAAATAGCAGAGGAGCTTATAGTCTCCCATGAGTCAGGTGCAGAGAGATCTAGATTGCCTTTTTCCACCCAATTCAACCCAGGGCAAGCAGAGAAACCTGGTCCCTGGTCCCAGTGCCCATTCCAGCCTCTCCCCTATTCCATCAAACCCTAGCTAGCTGGCGGGAGGAGGCTGGGGCTCCCACACATTCTTGTTTGGACTTCTGACACCAGATGTATGGTTTTCCACACATCAAGCAATTTTGCAACACTTAACTTACTCCTGACACTATCCACCTGGAGATCTCACAGGTTAAGAGCTCGGTCCCACAAAACTTTCCCCTCTTCCTCAGGTTGTTACCAGGGCTTCCAATATGCCTGGCAATTGAAGGGTCCCACTGCCCCCTCCTTGGGTTCAATTAATTTGTTCGAGTGGCTCACAGAAAAACAGTTTACTTACTAGATTACCAGTTTGTTAAAAAAAGATATAATTCAGGGGGGGCACCTGAGTGGCTCAGTCAGGTCATGATCTCACAGCTTGTGAGTTCCAGCCCCAGGTAGGGCTCTGTGCTGTCAGCTCAGAGCCTGAAGCCTGCTTCAGATTCTGTCTCCCTCTCTCTCTGCCCCCTTCCCATCATGCTCTGTCTCTCTCTCCCTCAAAAACAAATAAACATTAAAAAAAATAAGAAATAAAAAAATAAAAAGGATATAACTCAGGAACAGCCAGATGGAAAAGATGCTTAGGGCAAGGTATATGGAAAGGGGTGTGGACTTTCCATGCTCTCTCTGAGCAAGCCGCTACTCACCCAGGACCTCCACCTGTTCACCAACCTGGGCGCTCTCCAAACTCTCTCCTTATGGGATTTTTAAGGAGGCTTCATTACAAAGGCATGATTGATGAAAATCATTGGCCATTAGAGATTGACTCAATCTCCAGCCCCTCTCCCCTCCCCAGAGGTCAGACTGAACCTAAATTACCAATCTCCTAATCACAGGTCTGGTTCCTCTAGCAACCAACCTCCATCCTTAGGAGATCAAGATGTTTTCCAAAAATCACTTCATTAACATAAACTCAGAGGTATGGTTGAAAGGGGATTGTTATATAAATAACAAAAGACATCCATTTCACCTTTATTGCCCTTGAACTATTTCAGGAATTGAGAACAAACACAAATATTATAACAAAAAGCCCCTATGGCTCTTATATAGGAAATTATAGGAGCTGTGTCTAGAAACAGTTGATGAAGACCAAATATATATTTAATCACAAATTAGATTTAAGATGTAGAAAGATGGTGAAAGCATCACTCCCACTCCAACGACAAGAAAAAGCCAAATAATCTACATAACTGATATGGTTTGGAGTGTTGGGGTTTGGAGATGACGGCTAAGAAAGAATTCTTGGTATGTCTTCAGTACAAAAAAGGTAGTTTCATTAAAGCACAGGGACAGGACCTGTGGACAGAAAGAGCTGCACTGGGGTTGTGCGGAGGAACCAATCTTATACTTGGGAGTTGGGGAAGGTAAAAGGTACCTGGAGGTTTCCAAACAGACTTTCATATGCTAAAGACACACAGGATCCTAGGGGCCTAGGTATTGTCAAGCTAAGGTTGTTTTTCCCTCTAGCAAAGTATAAACATTAAGATAGTTGGGAGTTCCTGAAAGAATATCATACTCTGCCTATCTCAAATATCAGTCAATGTGCAGTGGGTTATATATTTAATTTTATCTACAGTTCCTCAGCTTTGTTTCTTACATCAAAAGCTGTGACTTTTCTGGGGCGCCTGGGTGGCACAGTCAGTTAAGCGTCCGACTTCAGCCAGGTCACGATCTCGCGGTCCGTGAGTTCGAGCCCCGCGTCAGGCTCTGGGCTGATGGCTCAGAGCCTGGAGCCTGTTTCTGATTCTGTGTCTCCCTCTCTCTGCCCCTTCCCCGTTCATGCTCTGTCTCTCTCTGTCCCAAAAATAAATAAATGTTGAAAAAAAAAATTAAAAAAAAAAAAAGCTGTGACTTTTCTTGAAGCCATCAGAGAGCTAAGGTTACAGGGCAACCAAGTGGACTGAAATTTAAGGAAAAAAAGGCACCTCCAGGGAGAGATGTAAGGTCTGGCTGGTCTGTGGCAGAGGGAGAATGGTGGGACCAATATACAGGCAGGTAAGTAGAATTCAGGTATAATTTGTAATGAATTACTAAAGGTCTAGCATGGGTTAGGGGCACGTGGGTGGCTCAGTCGGTTAAGTGTCTGACTCAGTATTTTGGCTCAGGTCATGATCTCACAGTTTGGGAGTTCAAGCCCCACCTGCACTGACAGTACTGAGCCTGCCTGGAATTCTCTCTCTCCCTCTCTTTCTCTGTCCCTCCCTGCTTGCTCTCTCTCTCTCTGTGTCTCAAAATAAATAAATAAAACTTAAAAAAAAAAAAAAAAACAATAATAAAGGTCTAGTGTGGGTTAGCAAGAGCATAGACACTTAGACGTTTTTTCTCCACAGATCTCTGTGGATTGGATGCTCATAAAAAATACTAGGCAGGAGGCCAGAGATAGCCCCTCCGTAGTGCTAGTCTGGAGAAGGAAAACAATCACTACTCCAGGAAAAATACAAAGGTCCACCAGGTGCCCTCTCTAGAATAAAAATCTTTTTTTTTTTAACGTTTATTTATTTTTGAGACAGAGAGAGACAGAGCATGAACGGAGGAGGGTCAGAGAGAGGGAGACACAGAATCTGAAACAGGCTCTAGGCTCTGAGCTATCAGCACAGAGCCCGACGCGGGGCTCGAACTCACAGAGATCATGACCTAGGCCGAAGTCGGGCGCCCAACCAAGCCACCCAGGCGCCCCTAGAATAAAAATCTTAACACTGCTGGGGAAAGAGTGGCAAAACTCTGCCACTCCCAAGGCAGCTAGGGCAGGGTGAAAGAAAAATAAAACAACCCTTTATTCCTGGGGGAAGGCAGGACATTCTGATCCAGACCATTAATGATAGCCTACCTCTGGGCCAAGAGCAGGATCACCAAAAAGATCCACACCCCTCCCTTTTCTCCCCCCACTCAGATCCAGAAAAACAGGGCCTGCCTAAGACTGAGGCTGAACCAAGACAACAGAGAAT